TTTATATATATATAGGAAGAAAGGGTATTATGCCAATAAGGAACAACCACAGAAGTTTTTATTTAAAAACCGTTATGGGGCATATATTAATATGTATCTGTGCCACAAATCACTGAGAAAAATCTTATAATATTCATAATTGTTAACGAGATGATATTTAGCAGTGTTTAAAACGAGACTTATTAGGTCGCTAATGTTACTTTGTTTCCAATATTACACTTTATTCTTGTAAAATCTATATATGAAGTTCAAAAGTATTTTGCAATGGCCTTAAATTGTGAGCCAGGATTTATAAAGGTATTGATGCAATGAAACTTAATCAGTACCTTCCAGTATATATTTTAGTAAAGGGATTGTCAATCCCATGTTTCTGGGATAAAATAAAAGGCTAAAGTATTACAGTTGAGAAGAAACTATTTATTACCTGCAAAAACTATTTTTTACAAAATAATAAAAAAATTTCAATAATAAATTAGGTATATGTATGTTGTGCCATACAGGAATTTCAAGATAAATATGATCGACAAGCTTTTGTGCAAAAAATAAAATGATTTTTTCTAGTATTAAGACAAACCATAATGTGTTTTAGAAACTTCACAGGTAACAGTTTTTTATAATAAAATATTTAGAATAATTTGGGGTCGTTTTCATTATATTAATGACTTGAATTCCTTTTGACAAATTGAATTTGTATCAAAATAAAAAAAAAAAAAAAAAAAAAAAAAAAATTGATGTTCTATTACGAGATTGAGTTTTTATTGTCGACAAAAACCAGGATAAATACTAATAACAATACCCTTAATAAAATCACATTTTTTAGGCTTATGAAAATATTTATAGAGGACATAAAATAGTTTTTGAAACACAATTTGAACGGACGAATAAAAAAAATAACAAAACATTATTTTTTCTAGGTTTATATTAAAATTTACAAGGTAGGTACATCGTAAAATAATACAAAAAAAAAAAAAAATGTTTTTTTTTTATGAATATACAAATCAGAAGAAAAGTTGTTTAGAACAATTTTTACCAAATTCCAAATTTTAAACTGAAACGCGTAATTCAGTACAAGTAAAAACATGAAATAATTGTAAATACTTATTTAATGGCATTTTGAGTGTTTAACGACTAAGAAAAGATCATCTGTCCGTAGCGTCTTTGTCAGAATATTCGTATATTTAGTGTATTATATACCAATATTGTACGCAGTTTTGAAACTGATGATAATTAAATAAATCATATAATGTTGGGAATCCAATCTCATAATAAATGCATACTTCACCAAATTTAAAATGCCCCCGTATGTATTGAAAAACAGCAAATTTATTATTTATCATTTAAGTGACAACACCCATATACAAAATGACACGGAGACCTGGAATATGGGGCCCAACTTGATTAGACCTTCTGCACATGTTGACGCTCATTCTCCATCCCTTCTATTTCTCTGGGCTATGGAGGCTAGAAGGAGGAGGCGAATCGACAATGGGCGTATTTGAAATTTCTGTCCACACTTTTAAGCAGCTTCCCCGGTTTGACAGCAGAGGCACTGCAATCGACTGGGATACTACATTTTCATTGTTAGAATACGATTTAACTGTGCTTTTACTAGTTTTTTTTTTTTTTTTATAGTTATTTTATTGAACTATGAGCAATGTAACAATGAGTATGATTAAAAACCCCATAATAGATTGTATCTGACTGTATATGTAATTTTACAGTGGAAAAAAATAAAGAACGGGGTGAAAGGAACCCAAGCTCAAATGTTCCAATGTAAGTGGTATAACTTCATTTATTTTTAAAAAAACAGAATGTCCGAAACAAAAAAAAAATTATCTAAATTATATACTGTCAAGTACAGATTAATTTTTAAAATCAAATCAATAGAATATAGCCTTAAAAATCAACATCTGCGTAACATAACCTAGGAGGCCTGGTTATAAAATAAAAATTAATTTACCTACCAGCTGGTGGCTAAAATTTCCTGTTGATCTGTGTGCTAACCACCATTTGAACAGCAAGTATTGAAAGTGAATCTTACGCCAGCAATCTAACAATATAAGCATTCTGAAAATGACTTACCAACTATATGTCATTTAAATCAAAACAACGTGGTGGTTGAAGGACTTTGGATTGTGCATATAAAACCCATTTTGAGATTTAGTTTTTTATAATTTTTTTTTTTTATATGTAGGTATATTGTAGCCAGGTATTTATTTAGAATGCATTTTTTAAATTATAATTGTGTTCTTGATATAACATTGTTGTTGTTATATTTTCATATAGGTGCAAAATTTTGCTATTAAATTTATATTACTGTATATTTTATTTATTAAACTTTAGTGGAATTAGTCAGTTAATAAAACAAAAAGTTGTAATGTATTATTGCTAATAAATAAATAATATATGATGAAATAAGTCAGTGTATATACATATTTACAACTCTTTTAAAATAAATTGAGTTCATATTATTTGTTCATTAATATTTCCTTACTACAAAAATTTACCTCATAACATAGGTGACGTTGAATATAATACATCTTGAATTTCTTAATTGTTCATTTAAAACAGACATACTGGAAAACCTCATAAATTTTTATTATTAAAACTCAAATTCAGAAAATCTAAAGAAATATTTTTTTCCTGTTTTAATAAAACAGGAAACGTTTCAGCTTAATATACTTCTGTTTCAGCTATAAAAAGTTTTAGGATAGATAAATATAATTAAAAATTTTTTTTTTTTTTTATTTATTCATTTTCCATTGAAGTTATTCCTGATAAATACTTCTTTAATTTTCAGATTCAGTTCCCTATCAATTGCGGTAAACTGTCACTAGTCAGAGCTACGAAAGTTTTTTAATGCTTATTTAAATTAAGTTAAAAAAAAAAAAAAAAAAATATATCAATTTCAAATGTTTTTATGAAAAACTATTAATAATAAATCACTAAATATACACCACACCAAAACCCATTTCACTGCAATTTGTCATCTAGAAACAATTACTGTTCACATCAAATCAAAGGTTGAACCAGGTTGAACTGGTGATATTTGTTGCTGGAATCTTTTACAACAAAGAGAAATGGAAGATTTCATTTTAGTAGCTATATATTTTCTTCTGAAAATGTGTGGTATGCAATCTTAAAAAGAACCGCTATAATTAAAAGTCAATTTTATAATAACAACCTAGAAAAGAATATCTAAAACCGGCATCTGATATAACCTAACTCTGAACTATTTTTCAAATTCAAACGCTTGTTTGTATTCACGATTTTAGCCACGCACATTGTTCAATTGGGAAAAACAATGTTTCTAAAAGCTAAATCTGGTAAAAAATATGCCCAAATATTAATTTAAACTCTCATGAATTAGAACAAATAGTAATTTTTGCTAAGAAGCTATGTATTTCGGGTCTGTCGGATCATATGCGTGCCTTTAACGTAAGATTTTTCGAACTTCATTTAGAACTCAAAAACTGGGCCCATAATTTTGCGTTCGATTCGCCTTCTCCTTCTAGCCTCCATACTCTGGGCCCATCTGTTGCCCGTCCTTATGGCCAGGTGTCCTGCCCATCACTTGAGGGATTTGACTTGTTAATATTTGACATCTACTACTTCGATCCTTTTGTCATATCCACCTTATTCATTATTTGTCTTTCTCTGTTATCTCTATTTCGCAAGCAATTTATTTCTCAACAACTAAGTTAAGAGTTAAATATAATACTGATTAATTTATAATGTATTAATGTTTAATACAGGACTATACAGAGTGTATTCTCTTGTTGGTTAAATATATTGTTATAGTTAAAAGTTAATCAACTACATGTTACTTTCAGTATAGTCGGGCAGCTGCTTCTCAAAAGTTTGAAGACTGTAGGATAATTTCAATATTTTTCCAATTATATGTATTATTATGGAAGTCTGAACTGTATTCCGAAACTTTAAAAGACATTCTGCAGATAAAAATAAGTAAAAAGTTCGTATAAATGTATGTCCTCAAAATGCTTTAGTTTCGAGATACAGGGTGTAGGGAAGCTACTATTTCTTTTTATTTCGATTTTTTCCAAATAATTTCGGAAGTACTGTCAATATTAATATTTGATTTAAAAACGGCATTATCAGTTTTTTTATATGATAAATTTGATTTTGATGACTTCTACTTGTAGGGCGCCAGTTATTGTTTCGTCAATAACATTACATGTATTGATTATTTCGATCCAATATCTTGAGAACGGTTCCTCGTAAAGCGATTTTTAGTAAGAGATTAGTTTTTGATGTAAAAATCACGAAAATGTGTATTTTTTCACTCAGTAGGTTTCAGGTACACTGGATAAGATAGACTTGAACCAAAGTCGTCATCGTTCTTGAAAAAACAATTAGTGGCAGAGAATTTATTTTAGCGTAAAAGAAAATATTTTGCCTGAAGAAAAACTCTCTTAGCTCAAGATAGTAGATAAATTGAAAATTTCTGTGATCTATTTTCATTCAACCAAGTGCAAGTTACTTTGTTTTAAGATAATAAGAAAAATACGCTGGGAAGTACTTCATTCAAGAAACATGGCCATTTTCCAATATTAATCTCTGTCGATGGAAAATAATAACGACACGTAAAGACGATGACGAAGGATGGTATATACAATCAGTCGGCAGTCCAGTCAGTCGTACGTCGCATTTCATAGGCACATCATAGTACGCACGGGTTTGTTGCTTGGAATTTTCCACTTGGAATTTTGCATAATTTGCTTTTTTAAACGCATATCGTAAAACAAATTAGTGATCGTTATCAATATGCATTTGTCATTTTTATGGACAAACTTTAGGATATATAAGTTCTTTAGGTTTG